TTTCAGTGTGTAATATATGAATTTATGGTTTGTTGGATGTTGAGTCACTGGGGTTTTTTGCAGTTAAAAAGGTCATTGTTAAATGATGCTACTGTAATATTATACATTTTGATGGTGCAGCGTTTTTAGGCAATTCTTTTGGTTTGGTTTAGTGATTATTGCAGCTGGTTAATGCCATCTCTTTAGTAATGAAAGGGGGTACAGGGATTCATGAGTTAACCAGAGATTTGTGTACAACCTGCACAGCTTCCTGTAAGTGGCTAACCCCACTTGATTTTGCTCTGGGAATGGGACAGGAAATGCCGGGTACCGCTGCCAGAACACAGCTCTGTATACTGTATGTAACTGATGCTACATACAGTCCAAGCAGCGCTGACAGTGGGCGCATGTAATAGAAATAGTTTGATCGGGCCAACTTGGCCAAAAACAAAACTATTTAATTAGAAATGAAACCCGGAGTTGGGCTTTAACACAAAAGTATATAGAGAATAGAAAATTCAAAACTTACCTAACATTTTCTTTTCCTGAAGTATCTTAAAGTGGAACTTTAGCCAGAAAATTAAGGCCTGCTAGATCACTTCAGGCTGGCCCATTTTGCAGGTGTAGTTATGTAAAACATTAAAAATAAGTGCCTATTCTGTATAAAATCCAGAAATACATTGTCTCACCCTGTTCTGCACGTGCTCAGTTGCTCTATATTTTTTGGCACTGCTGAAAATGTTAGAGGCTGATCTGCTGACAGTCTAAAAGATTTACTGCTGCTTAGGGGCTCTGGGCTATTGCAAATTGACAGTCTGCAGCAAGAAGAAACAGGAACAATGCCGGAGGCAATTTGCAGCACACACTGATTTTGGTAGCATAATTATTCTTGTGGGAATGTAGGCTCCTTGCTAAAGAACATGATTTTTTTTTTTATCAAGTTGTTATGGATAATGTTCCACTTTAACCAATTCAATACCGGGCAACTTTACACCTTCCTGCCCAGGCCAGTTTTCAGGTTTCAGCGCTCTCACACTTTGAATGACAATTGCGCGGTCATACAACATTGTACCCAAACTAAAATTTGATCATTTTCTTCACACAACTAGAGCTTTCTTTTGGTGGTATTTAATCACCACCGGGGTTTTTATTTTTTGCTAAATTAACAAAAAAAGATCAAAAATTTTGAAAAAAAAAAAGTTTTTCTTTGTTTCTGTTATAAAAGTTTGCAAATAAATAATTGTTCTTCATAAATTTAGGCCGAGATGTATTCTGCTACATGTCTTTGGTGAAAATAACCCAAATTAGGATGTATTTTTTAGTTTGTAGGAAAGTTATAGAGTTCACAAACTATGGTATAGATCTGAATATTGATCAATCCTGAAGTACTGACAGCCAATCTAATTTCTTGAGGTCCAAGAATGTCAGAATAGTACAGATATCCCCAAATGACCCCTTTTTGCAGAGTAGACAGTCCGACGTACTTCATAAGAGGCATGGCGAGTTTTTTTGAAGTTGTATTTTTTTTGTCATAATTTTTCGGAAAATTAAAAAAATTAGTTTCACTATTTTTTTTTTTACATATTGTCACCAGTGCAGTGCAGCGCCATCATATAACTGGCATGGTGGTGATCAGGGACACTGACTGGTGACAGTATGAAAAAAAAAAAAATTATATATATTTTTTTTTTTTTTTTTTATTATTTTTATGAAATTGTTTTTATTTTTTTTAAGATTTTTTTTTCATATTTCACTATGACCAAAGTAGTACAATTTTACCATAGTAACATTGTACTACTTTGGGGAAGTGATCAGTATTTTTTTTTTATGTACAATTTGCTTATAGCAAAGAATTACTTTGTTATAAGCAAGCATTTACCTGAATGACATCGATTCATTCAGGGTTTTTTTTTTTTTTTTGTGCTTAGCTGTGATTTGGCCACAGCTAATCACATGAAATGTGCATGTGACCTGCTGTGACCATTCACAGCTAGACACTAGTATACAATGGATGGCATGAATGAAGCCATCCATTGTATACAACTGTCATGTGACCTGCTGTGATTGGTCACAGCAGGTCACATGGTACCGGCAACGGGGCCGATACTCAGATCTGTCATCAGCCGTGTCCGAGGTACACGGCCGGTGACAGATCGCGCCGCTCTGCAGGAGCGCAATCTGCGCATGTGCGGGAGGACGCCATATGGCGTACACCTGGAACGCTGATGACATTTGCCGCCCGCCATTAGGCCATAGGGCGGGCGGCAAATGGTTAATGACAGCATACAGTGGGTTGTGGTTCTGCTCTTCTAACCCAAAGGCCCAGTTAACTATAATCTGTATTATTTCCTTTTTTTCCATTTGCCATACTGGAGCAGGCCTTCTGCCTAGTTGCATTGTATAACTCTTTTCAGAATCCCCCAGGATTCCCCAATTTTTACTCCTCCGGTTCTCCTAGTGTTCTGCATGGCTCAAGCCCTAATGAAGTGGGAACAAGAACCCTTAAAATGCATTTTTAAAATGAATGACACTACAAATGCTGAATGATTGGACTTTTGGACTATTTATTGGTCTAGACATTCTCTTTTTATACTCTTGACAAAGGGCCAAGTGTTCCAGTAGCCATGTCCAGCAACAGAGCCAAAGACAGAGAGGATCTGTTGTCCTGTATATAAAAGATTAAAGGAAGCATTAGGAGAGACTATTATCTTAAACAACAAAAAACGATGGCCCCCAAGAGCACAAGAATTGGCCTGTTCACCAAATGGTCCTTTTAGAGGAAAGATGAAGAACCAGGTTGGCAAGCCACACAAAATCATCTTGGTAAAAGGAAAAAATGCTGACTAAATTAGTCTATGGTGAGGATAGAGAAAAAAAAAAAGGTGATTGCCTGTAAAAGGAATTATGTTGTATGAGTAACAATTCTAAGGGGTACAAGGATGGAGCCACAATCCATGCTGTCATGATATTTACACTCTGGTTAAGAACTAAATACTGCAAGGTCTGCCCTGAAAGGTAATGATTTTTTCTAACAATGCACCGATACATTGGCTGCCGAAAATGATCGGCCGAAAATTGGGTTATCTGCATTTTGCCGATAGAATAAAAAAGGTGCTGATAATGATAATTGACTTCAATCCAATATCACATCCCATTGACTTCAATGCAAAATTGCCTTCTATTGACTTCAATGCAAAATTGCATCCCATTGACTTCAATGCAAAAACACCCCTGTTGACTTCAATGCCAAAACGCTCCTTATTGACATCAATGCACAAATGCCTCCTATTTAAGTTTTTATTTTCTGTCCACGTTTTTTGTGTCTTACTCTCAATAAAAATTATTTTTTACGTTAATGCATATTATTTTTTAAATTCATATTCATTTAAATCCATGATACTCATTAAAAATTTGAATATAGTACAATTTTTGTATATAAAAAATACATTTTTTAAAAAAAAACTGTCCAGAAATTTCATTTCGGGGTGCACCACTAATTTTTTTTTCTGCACATTTCTTACATAGTTCTGGATTTATATAAATGTAATCACACCTCCTTCTTATTTACACTCGCCCCCCCGCCGCTTTTTTTAAAATCTATACTTATTGGTAAACTTTAAACATTTCTGTACAGCACTGCTTCCCCAACAAGGCCATCATGCTCCATTGGGAGTATAAAATTCTGATAGCTTAGAAAAGGGATAATACATTTTATGAAAGGGCATAAAGTATTAGGACCAGCAGTGCTGATGTGGAATTGTGTTGCTATTTTTGCTAAGGACTGTTTTATTTTTCTTTAATAGAAGCTGGCGTGCAAAACTGTGCTTACTAAATGATAAAAATGAACGCACCCCCTTGCCAATGGATCTCAGCAAAGCACTTGACTTCTGCATAATCCAGCTGGTATAAAGACATGCGGGCTCATCTTCTAGGAGTGTACAATGCTATATAGACATCTCTGGGCCCTCTCACTTGCCGGGGGAAACTATAGGTAATTGGCTGACAAACCCAATATGACCAATAACCTTTATCCCGAGACGGTCTATGAATGCCTGCTGCAGGCAAAATTTCCACTTTATCCCAGAGGGATCTACATAAAAGCCCAACTGAGTTTTTTTAGCAGACACACTTATCAAAATATTTGGTAGCTAGCGGAGAGACAATTTAAAGCATATCTAAGCCCAAGAGCAAAATATATAATATATTGCAGCTTACCAGTCCTTAAATGCGGTGGCTGCATTAGTTTTCTAAGTAGGCCAAGTACATTTTCTGCAAGTGCAGAAAATACCTATTGATCCTGCTAGAAATCCAGTGTCCTTTCTGTGCACTGAACAATGTTATCTACTATCCTCTGTGAGCTACAAAACGCTACCCAATATGTAACAGAGATGAGGAGGGAGGTGTTCATACACCAAATCAGACAAGCAGGCTAGGGTGACAATGCTGTTCCTCCATAGATACAATGCAATGGGTGAACTTTGTCACCCTTGGACAGGAAGTGAGTTACTGGCAGGATCAGCAGGTTATAAAAAAATGGGTAATTTACAAAAATGCAACTACCACATCTGCTGGTAAACTGTGACATGTTACTTTTGTTTTTGGGTTTAGATACACTTTAATAAAGTTGTGAGATTTTATATCGTTCTCTGATGAAACAAAGGAAGATCAGATCTTTAAGACATAAATCCAGGGCAGTGGGATCATAGGCTGGAGTCCCACCTATGTGTCTTCAATTGAAATCAATGGAAATGCATGTCAACGCGTTAACATGCATCCGTGAGCAGTTTCCATGTGTGTACTGAATGCCGACACGCGTCATAATTCTTATCGATGGGCATCATGACACATTTACGCTGAGCTGATGTTCCGCTGATTTCAATTGAAAATGCATCAAGCAAAAAAGCAAAGGTGCGGACCCAGCCTCTGTTAGAGCATGTCAATATTTAGATGACATGATAGGGAAAACCATTTAAAGGGCAAAAAAGCGACCTATACAGCTTCTCACATAGTGAAATAGTGAATCAATCTGCACTGTGAGCATCATTCTCACTTGGATACAGGCTTCCTTTCAATAATTTGAAAGGGTTCTGATCGGTCTCCTGGAAGTAAAGGTACACCAGAAATCCAGTAAACAGGAGAAGTAGAAGAAGCTGCAGCCATAGTGGAAGGAATCGTCTGGGTGGTTGCTTGGGTTCTTCTTCCATTGCTTTTGGACGGATGGGCTTGCGAGGTTCCACTCCCTGTGAGTAGGAGGTCTGATAACGCATTTGGGAGATGTTCTGGTACGTGTTTTCCTTACTTCTAGAACTGGGATAGATAAATGTAAATGATAAAATAGGAGGCTAACATACAAGGTAAGTCAGATTACATTTACAGTGGTTCTAAAGTCAAAAGGTTGTTTACCTTAAAGGATAAGCTCACCTTTTGGGGGGAAAAAAAAATAATCGCACATTTTATTTTTTTTTTTTTGCAGGTAAAAAAAAAAGTGCATTTATTTATTAATTTTTTTCTAAGAAGCCTGCAGAGCATTGCATCCGTGATCTCAGGCTCCTGCAGACTCTCAGGATAGCTGTTTGCCCTTACCACATATGGGCAGGCAGTTACCTGAGAGCAGGAAGATCAATGAACTATCAGAGTACTCATCAGCACCCTCATAGTTCATTGAGAACTAAAGCTGTCAACTGCAATGGCTGACAGTACTTGTAGTCTATCCATTCACAAAAAACTGTGAATGGACGATGGGGCTTATGTAGGCCCAGCACGGTTGCACTGTTTTCAAATAGTGATTGCTGGTGCGGGGAAAGGATCCCCCGCCCACTGTCACAGGGTGGGGTGTGATTTGGGGTAGAAGCTGCAGATGCTGGAACATGTAACATGCTCCAAAGGTGAACCTATCCTGTAATGCATTCTGGACGACACACATTTTGTCATAGGGTGACAACACTGCTTCTCCATAAATACAGAATAGAGAGTGAGCATTGCCACCCTAGGAAAGAATGTGTGCTACTGACAGGATCACTAGGTGAAAATAAAGGGGGGGGGGGGGGGGGGGAAGCCTAAAGAAAACTAATACATGTACAATACAAGTACCATATGTACCTAAAGACTGGTAGACTTTACAAGAAAAAAAGAAATGTAACTTTAAATGTTTATTTCTCCTGTCACCTTCCAGAATGGCATACCTGAGAGATGAGAGGCTCCTCCCTTCCGGAAACACAATCCATTTACAACTGTTCTAAGTCCTCACCCTTCCCCTTGACCCTCAGTACTGATAGTGTTTCTCCCTGCAACAGAAAGTTTGTTGTTTTCTTGTGACCAGGAGACCATGGAAGGTTGGATGGTACCACTGTGGGGCAGGCATAGGGAAGTCGGGGAAGGCTGAACTAACTTGGCAGGCTTGTCCTTCTCACAGGTTGCACCAGAATGGCACCAGCGCTCCAAACACAGGGGAGTGTGAACCGCTGCTGTAGTGTTTCAATTTGCCGCCTGGCTGCTGTCTGTCTCTCTTCCCCACATGGTTACTAGCGCTCAGCGGTTTACAAGGTAGCAGTGAGGGAGGAGGCTGAGGGACACCGGAGTGTAGGAGAGACAGCAGGGCGGCGGAGAGTGGTCTGCTGGCTTACCAGGAGTTCTGGCATTAGCAGCAGAGACTGGGCTGAACCACCTCATGGAATAGGAGGAAGGGATGGCAGCACCGGTGACTGCAGGCAAAACCAAGTCGGGGCTCGGTGGGTGCTTATCTTGGGGGGGAGGGGAAGCTTGGGGCCCAAATTGACCCAGATAGGTCAGTTTAGTCAGACCGGACGGGTACCCCAATCCCCCCCCCCCCCTCCGCTTTTTACTTGGTGTTAAAGGCTGATAGTTGGGGAGGGGAAGAGTGACTAGTGGTTGGTGTTCCTCTTCTCTCTTTCAGAATTCTTGAGCGGAACCCAGGAGGCCCCTGATAGACTGCCTTCTGCACCTGCGGGCTCTAGCTCCTCTAGATAATGTGGTATTGTGGGGAGATGTTACCTAAGTCTCACCCCAAACCATTTTATTATAGATACATTAACAAACTGGCAGGGAAAGAGGCCTCAGGCTTGTTGAAAAATTTCCTAGCATCTTTGCAGGATGAGATGGTAGCCACGATCCAGTCTTTTCATGCTTCAGTGGCACAGCCACAGGACCCAGGCCCAGAGGAGCTAACCGCTAAGGAAGGCCAGTCCTCACAGGAAAGCCTTAACTCCAGAGGGGGCCCGAGTGTATTCCTCCTATCCTCTCAGACACTTCCTCTGGCCCAAGCTAGGAAGGAGGAGAGTAAAGGAGAACTAGAATGTCAGCCCAAGTCAGACCAAAACTCTGGTGAGGATGTGGATCTAAATCTGGGCAGTGATGCAAGTGAGGAGGTCAAGCCAGGCCATCATCTTTTTGTTCTGGAAAATTTGGAGGGTCTCCTTCAGGTGGTTCACGCTACCGGAGAGATCCCTGAGACCCCCAGAGAAGCCTCAGCTCAGGACAAAATGTATCGAGGACTAGTCAAGGCTCATGCTAGGGTACTCCCCTTTCACCAATCCCTAAAGGATTTAATCCTACAGGAATGGAATGACCCTGAGAGGAAAATAGTCAGACCTAAGACTTGGAAAAGGAGGTTCCCCTTTAAAGAGGAGGAAGAGGAAAAATGATTTAAAGTGATATTAAAGGCTTACTTTTTTTATAAAATAACAGTTTTTGAATAACAAACACATCATACTTACCTGCTCTCTTCAGTGGCTTTGCACAGAGCAGCCCAGATCCTCCTCTTCTCGGGTCCCCTACAGGCTCTTCTGGCCCCTCCCTCCTGTTGGGTGCCCCCACAGCAAGCAGCTCTTTTTATTAACTCAGCTAGAAGAGCTATTTCGGTAAAAGCATGGGAGGGTGACATCAAATCAAAAGGTAAACTGTGTGGTCTCCCCTTTCAAGGCTCCCTGTTGTTTGGGCCAGGTCTGGACAATGTGTTGTCCAGGTCCTCTCAGAAGAGGAGGAAATTTCTGGTTAAGCCCAGGAGGGAAAACTATAAGAGGTTTTTTTTCGTGGCCCCCAAGGGGCAGAACCAGCAAAGAGCCAAAAAGAAACCCTGTAAGAAGTGGGCCAATGGTAGGAGACGGCAAAGAAGTAATTAGCTGTTTTCCTCTCTGGGCGCCAGCACTAAAACTAAGTGACACCAGGATCAGGGTAGGGGGTCACCTGTCACATTTTTTCCTCCCAGTGAGAGAGAGTTTCAGACAGCGCTTACATCTGTCAGGTAGTACAAGAGGGCTACTGCCTGGAGTTCTCGTCAAGGCCCTCACAGATGATCACCCTAATTCATCCTCCCTGGGATGCTTTGAAAAAGGAAGCTCTCCTGGAAGAGTTCAGGAGCTGGCGGAGCAGCAGGTAGTAGTGCCTGTACCAAAAAGTCAACAATTACAGGGATTTTACTCCCACGTATTTGTTTGCAAACCCTCAGGAAAGTACAACTTAATTATAAATCTTAGGAACCTAAACAAATTCTTGGAGTAAAATAGGTTTTCCATGGAGAGTATTTACTGCGCAAAAAAAAATCTCCTGAAAGAGGCATTTATGACAACATTGGACCTCAAGGATGCCTGATTACATGTCCGAATTCACCTGGAACATCTGGCATATTTGCGATAGTAATCGGGGAAAAAATAGTCCATTGGCAGTTCAGGGCTCTTCCTTTTGGGCTAGCAGCCAGTCCAAGGGTTTTTACAAAACCTCAAGCCGAAGTAGTGGCTCTCCTGTGCCTCTAACCCTGATTCTCTATTTAGATGATCTTCCAATATTTGGTCCCTCTGCTGTCTAAGTGAAGGCAGATACAGGGAAGGTGATCACTGCCCTGGCGTCATTGGGTCTGGATAGTCAGTGTGGAAAAATCGGCACTGGAGCCAGAGCATATCAAAACCTTTTTAGGTTATGTCATGGACACAAGAGTTCAAAAACTCTTCCTACCAACAAGGTGCACAAGATAGTCCTGTCAGTGGGAGGTCTGATAAAGACACCCTCAAACTCCCCAAGGGAGGTCATAAGGGTGCTGGGACTGATGTCGGCTGCCATCCTGGCCATTGTGTGGGCACAATTCCACTCAAGAGACCTGCAGTTCTTCCTTCTTTCCTGCTAGGAAAAGAAGAAAGAATCCCTGGAAAATAAGCTAGTCCTCGCTCCACAGGTTCAATCCTCCTAGAGTGGTGGATAACCCCCCAGCAATCTACAAGAAGGCAGCCAGTGGGAACCCATGAAAGTTGTCCGAGTTGAAAGCTCCTGCGGGTGGGGTGCTTACCTGGGGGAAGCGAAAGCACAGGGTTCCTGGGACAAGGCAATAGCTCAGACTTCGTCGAACTCCAGAGAACTCAAAGTGGTAGGAGAAACTTTGAAGGCCTTTGAGAACTGTATCTCGGGCAGGAAGGTTCAAGTCAGCTCCGACAATACCACCACCACAGTGGCTTACCTGAATTGTCAGGAACCAGATCCGGACATCTCCTAGACCTATCCAAGGAGATCCTGGGCTGGGCCGAAGAGAAAAGTGCTTTTCCTAGTGGCAGTTCATATAAAAGGGACAAACAACCAGGAAGCGGACTTCCTCAGTCACCAGCCAATCAAACGGGGATTGGGAGTACAGCAGCCCAGAAAATTACCATTTTGCCGATGGAAAGAACAGGAAGGTGAGTAGGCTCTTTTCAGTATCTCCAGAGCGAATCATACGGCTTACTAGGAAAATTAACTCAAAAGTATGGAAAACCTTTTTGTTCATGGTGCAAACAGAAACGGGTGACTTCTACCTCTGTTCCAAAAATCCTGGAATTTCTCCAGGATGGTGTAGAAAGAGGGGTGGCAGTTAGCAGATTGCAGCACTTACAGTATTCCTTGATGCTAGTTTAGCTAAAGAACCTTTTAGTTAAGCAATTTTTGGTGGCCAGGGAGAGAACTACCCCCGCCACAAAAGAGGTTTCTGCATGGATTCTCTAAAAGCACCCTTTTGAGCCAATAGAGGAGGTTCCCTTTAAGTTTTTGACCTTATAATTTGTCTTTTTTATTGGCTATCACCACAGGCCAGGATAGTAGGAGACCTACAAAGTTTGTCAGTCAAAGACTCTTTTTGTTGATCCTGCAGATAGGGTCACCTTCAGGCCAAATCCAATGCATTTGCCAAAGGTAGCTTCCTTAATCAATTGGACAAGGGAGATCACTTTGCCATCCTTCTGTGATAATCCCAGGAACACAAAGGAAAAGAATGTCATTGTCTTGATGTCCAGAGGTGTCTCCTCACTTATTTGCATAGGTCCAAAGAATTTAGGAGATCCACCATCTGTTAATTCTGTATTGTGGATCAAGGAAGGGACTCCAAGCCTCTAAGTCACAGGTGTCAAACTGGTGGCCCTCCAGCTGTTTCCAAACTACAAGTCCCATGAGGCATTGCAAGATTGACAGTTACAACCATGACTCCCAAAGGCAGAGGCATGATGGGACTTGTAGTTTTGCAACAGCTGGAAGGCCGCCAGTTTGACACCCCTGCTCTAAGGCTTCTGTTTCCAGGTGGATCAGAAAAATTATTGCCCTAGCTTACAAGAATTCAGGGATTCCTGCACTAGCCAAAGTAAAAGCTCCTCTCAATCAGGGCCATGACTATATTCTGGGCAGAAAAAGCAGGGGCCTCCTGGGAACAGATTTGCAGTGCAACCACCTGGTCCAGTCAAGACAGCTTCTTGAAGCATTACCAGATTGAAGTTCTGTTGCAGCAAGTCTTAGCCTTTGGCCGGAAGGTGCTACAGGCTGTGGTCCCACCCAAAGGTAGGCCTGCGGTTAATGATTATCCTTTCAGGTGTCCTGGAAAGTGATAGGAGAAAACCAACCGTTATACATATCGGTAACGGTATTTCTGGGAACCTTCCAGGACTTCAGGCCTACTTCCCACCCTGTTAAAGTGGTTGTAAAGGCTCAAGGTTTTTTATCTTCATGCATTCTATGCATGAAGGTAAAAAACTTTTTCTATGCAGCATTCCCCCCAGCCCCCCCCTAATACTCGCCTAAGCCCCTCTCAATCCAGCGATGTGCACTGAAGTCTTGGCTATTCCGGGACTTCCTCTCCTCATTGTCTTGGACAGCAGCGGGAGCCAGCGAGAAGAGAGAGGGGGCAGGGCCAAGCCATGGCTCGTATGTGAATGGACACACAGAGCAGCGGCTTAGGAAAGCGCCTGCTCGGGTGCCCCCATACCAAGCTGCTTGCTGTGGGGGCACCTGGCAGGAGGGAAGGTCTAGGAGCACTGGCGGGGCACCCGAGAAGAGGCATCTGGGCTGCTCTGTGCAAAACCACTACAAAGAGCAGGTAATTATAGCATGTTTGTTATTTTTTTATTTATTTTTTTTAAATTTAAGTCTTTAGTATCACTTTAAAGGGGGGGGGGGGGAAACTCCTAAAAGCAATAAGTGGTGAGTTAACAAACAAAGTATAAAGCGAGCGCTATTCAGTTCAGCAGCTGTGCACTCAAGGCAACCAAATAAACCTCAATATAGAATATCACAGAAATAGTGCAGCGCTTAAAATGATAGTCCTTGTTCCTGATCAGTAAATGTTCCTCACAATTGGAATAGAAGAAGTGCCCACTCACCAGAACCACACTTGGTGTGTTACAGAAAGTTAGAATTAATTCCTGGTTTCCCTGAAGAAAAGCCTCTGGATCAGCACATGGATGGATATCCCTCTTATGGTCAAGCAGGCACAGGATCATAGAAATTTAGGCTCCGGCACAGAGTTCCGGTACCGGCTCAATCCTCTGATGATGTGCGTGGCACGTAACGTGTAAGGAGGAGCCTGCTCGCACCGTTGACGTCACGCCGTCGGAGCATCGTGGAGCTCCGGCGGCCATCTCCTTTCAGGGACGGTCAGTGTACTCTTGTTATCTGCCATTCTGATTTTGATACATTGTGGATGCATCCTGCGATTTTAGAATAAGTGTTCAATTTCTTCCAACCATACTACACTATGGGCACTCTTTTTGTTCTGACCCCGGATGGGGAGCATATTTTTTTCAGAAGCAGTACTGCTCCGAGTATAACCAGAGAGGGAGGTTCCTACTACTATAGAGCAACAGCCACACATCCCCTAAGGGGAACTCTGTGCCGGAGCCTAATTTTCTATGATCCTGTGCCTGCTTGACCATAAGAGGGATATCCATCCATGTGCTGATCCAGAGGCTTTTCTTCAGGTAAACCAGGAATTAATTCTAACTTTCTGCAACACACCAAGTGTGGTTCTGGTGAGTGGGGACTTCTTCTATTCCAATTGTGAGGAACATTTACTGATCAGGAACAAGGACTATCATTTTAAGCGCTGCACTATTTCTGTAATACGTGGTGAGTACCTATGTGGAATTATTCCCCTTGCGGATCAGTTCTGGGAGTTACTTAGTGACAAACTGAGGGACAAGGGGGAGTGGTGGGGACTTATAACAGTTGTTAATTGATTGTATTTCTGGCAGAGAGGAGCCTCTCATCTCTTAGGTGTGCCGTCCTGGAAGGTTCCCAGAAATACCGTTACCGGTAAGTCCAACGATTGGTTTTTGTTAATTTTACTGCTCATCTGTGTTTTCATTCTGCTCAGCTTGAATTGATGGGCTTCTCTTTATCACCTGTATTGAAACTATATACATGTGGGATTTGGCTGTACTGTGCAAATCGGAATAATCTGTTCAAATCACTTACTTGGCTCGCAGATCTTCTCTTACCTGAAAAATAAAGATTTGTTTTCATATGAAAAAGATACCAAGGTAACTGGCAGAATTATTCAAATCATTAACAAAATTTTAAAAAAATCTGAAGGAAGCATCCTGCATCAAAATATCCTATTATTATATTATTATTATAATATAATAATACTATTATATACTAGTATTTTTTTTTTACCTTAGCTTTGTGTGCTTATTTTGATTTATTTTATTTAACTTACTAAATCTTAGATTGTAAGCTCCAATTTTATTGAACTGTATTGTTGCTGTATTGTCTCCCGTTATATTGTAAAGCGCTGAACAAACTGTTGGCGCTGTATAAATCCTGTATAATAATAATAATAATAAATGCATGGCAGCACACTTGGAATGAAAGCATGGAATGTTTTACATTGTTAAGGTATTTTGATATATAAAGTTGATTAACCCTTTTGTGCCCAGAGATCATTGATGCTCGTGCCAAATCTAGCATCCCTAAGCCGGCCATAGACGGTTTGATTCTCAAGCGATCCCTGCTGAACCGGCCAAGATTCGATCCATCTACGGACAGGCTGGTTGTACCCACGTCAATCCAATTGATCGACTTGAGTATAACCAGCCTGATTTTTACCTAGGCCGCACATGGATATGTAAATGATGTTTGCACCACATGTGAGGTATCGCCGAAAACGCTATAGCGAGAACAATAATTCTAGCATCCAACCTCCTGTGTAACTCTAAACTGGTTAAAACTGTAAAGGCTTTTAAAGCGTCGCCTATGGAGATTTGTAAAGTGATACTAAAGGTTTTTTTGTTTTTTTTTAAATGACAAACATGTCACACTTACCTGCTCTGTGCAGTGGTTTTGCACAGAGCAGCCCGAATCCTCCTCTTTGCAGGTCCCCCACCAGTGAAGCTTGCTATGGGGGCACCCAAGCAGGCGCACTCCTGAGCCGCAGCTCTACGTATCCATTCACACACAGAGCTGTGGCTCGGTCCCACATCTTCCCTCTCCTGATTGGCTCACTGGCTGTGGCTGACAGCAGCAGGGGCCACTGGCTCCCACTGCTGTTTCAGCCAATCAGGAGTGAGAGTTCCCGGAGAGCCTCGGATCTCATGGACATCAGCCATTAGAACCACTTTAAGTATGTAGGTTTGTTGGCATTCCAAGGGTGTACGCAATGTTTTTGTGCATTAAAATGTATTTCATAAAAAAATAAATTGCAATCCACTTTATTCTCTAGGGTCTCTGCTTTAAAAATATAAAATAAAAATATATAATTGATATTTATTTCTACATGTAGGTGAGGAGTACCAGATTTGGCCCTGTAGGCAAGTGGTTAACTTAAAAATATTTTAATAAAACAGTCCTAAAAAGCATTAGATATCCTAGCAGTTAAGTAAAATATAATCAATTTTACAGGAAATCTGTTATTAGAAGAACATGTGGGCTCCTACAGTAGACCTTGAAAAATGTTAAAGGGAAGTCCTCCTGTGCTCCACAGAATCCCTATTAATGATGCCAGCTGCTATCACCTAATCCCTATACCACAGGACAAGAGCACTAGTCACTTTGGATTTTTTGATATCACGGTAATAGTTTGGCCTATTATACATTTATAATTACTTGAAAAATGTTAGTTGCCTGGCTGGCTTCAACAATGTGTGTAAATTACCTATAATATATTTAAAGATAAAAAAGTACTGAGAATTGACTTTCCTCATTTGTTCTCTGCCAGAGACTCAGAAAAAAGTTAAAAACATGACTTTCAAGCAAGTAACCTTTTCTAAAAGAGGATAGCAATGTCAGATTATGTATTTTTTCATAATAGGTTATTTTTAAAGAAAGGGAGGTGTAATTCACAACTTTTGGAGCTAGGTGACCTATGGAATAGACATTTCACAACTCCTCTGCTTTGCTCTCAGCCCTGAACTTCCTCTGATCAGCACAAAAATGCCTGCATAGCCTCTGGGCTCAAAATCTCACTTATTGTCAGTGAATAATTGGCGCACGTGCATACTTCCAGTGTAAAATATGTAAACTCAGAAGTATCAAAATTCAAGTTAGGTTCTGTGTCCAAAATCGCATTCCCGGATTAATGGCTCTTGCACACGGCCCACCTGAGCCTGTTCAGTGTAAGTGCAGCTATATTTCCTCAGTCCAGGTTCAGCGTACAGCCTGTCATTAACATGAATATCTGTGCACCACTGTACCTGTTAATACCACAGTACTAGCGAGTGTGAAAGAGGACCTAGTTGATGGAGAGTGTGATGAGGCTGAAGCACTATGGTGGAACGTACATGGGGGTGCGTACTACAAAGGTAATTGTTGCAGTTTGTTAAAGGCCGCCCAGTGTTAATGAGGAGGTGGAGCCTCGGCTCTTTGCACAGATTGAAAGGGCTGTAAGGGCTGGGACAGTGATAATAATGAGGGATTTTAACTACCCGGAAATTGACTGGAGTAATGGCACTACAGGAACAGTTAAAGGGCAAAAATGTATAAACCTACTACAGGACAATTTCATTATACAGTTCATAGAAGTCCCAACTAAGAATGGATCTGGTAATCTCAAACCATGCAGAGCTTAATACAAATGTCCATATAAAAGAACATCTGGGTAGCAGTGACCATAACATGATTTCATTTATTGTTAGCTGTAAACAGCAAGCACATACGGGAGAAATAAAAATGCTCAATTTCAAGAGAGCTAATTTTCCAAGGCTGAAAGCTGCTCTCCAAGACTTAGACTGGGAGGCAATATTGGCATCGATGAACACAACACAGAAATGGGAGTTCTTCAAAAAGACTGTATGTGAACACACTGCAAAATATATTCCCATGGGCAACAAGTTTAATAGGCTAAAAATCAAACCTATGTGGCTTATGGCCAAAGTTAAGAAGCTATAAAATAAGAAAGGAGCTTTTATAAAATATAAAAATGAAGGAACGCTATCATCGTTTAAACATTACAAAGAATATAATAGAATATGCAAAAAGGAAATAAAGGCCGCAAAAATTGAAAACTAACGACAGATTGCAAAAGATCGCAGGACATTCTTCAAATATATTAATAGTAAAACTGTCCAGTCCGAGCATGTAGGCCCTTTACAAAATAATGTGGGTGGGTGACTGGGGACAAAGAGAAGGCAAATTTATTAAATACCTTCTTCAGCTCTGTGTATACAAAGGAACATGGGGGAGCTCTTGTCCATAATGGGCATGGTATTGACACAGCTCCAAATGATTCACATTGGCTCACAAGTGATATGATCCAGAAATATTTAGACAGTATAAAGGTGAATAAAGCCCCTGGACCGGATGGCATACACCCACGGGTCCTTAAAGAATTGAGCTCTGTCATTTCAAAGCCATTGTTTCTAATTTTTAGGGACTCTTTAATAACTGGCATAGTACCACTGGATTAGCGTAAGGCCAATGTGGTGCCAATATTTGAAAAAGGGATCAAAATCTTTACCAAGTAATTATAGACCTGTTAGTTTAACTTCTATAGTTGGAAGATAATGGAGAGTTTATTAAAAGACCACATAGATGAGTTCTTGCTAGAAAAAAATATTTTAAGCAACAGACAGCATGGATTCTTGAAAGACAGAAGTTGTCAAAAAAATATGATTTCTTTTTATGAGGAGGTGAGCAAAACCTTGGACAGAGGGGTGGCTGTGGACATGGTATACTTGGACATAGGGATGGCTGTGGACGTGGTATACTTGGACAGAGGGGTGGCAGTGGATGTGGTATACTTGGACAGAAGGGTGGCGGTGGACGTGGTATACTTGGACAGAGGGGTGGCTGTGGATACTTGGACAGAGGGGTATGTGGATTGGACTTGGACAGAGGGGTGGCGGTAGACTTGGTATACTTGGACAGAGGGGTGGCGGTAGACGTGGTATACTTGGACAGAGGGGTGGCTGTGGACGTGGTATACTTGGACAGAGGGGTGACGGTGGACGAGGTATACTTGGACAGAGGGGTGGTGGTGGATGTGGTATACTTGGATTTTGCAAAAGAATTTGACACAGTTCCCCACACACGGCTAATGTGTAACGTAAAGTCTACAGGCTTGGCAAAATCTGTATATAAATGGTTAGAAAACTGGCTAAAAGATTGTATTCAGAGAGTAGTGGTTAATGATTCATACTCTGAATGGTCTGGGGTCATCAGTAGTGTACCCCAGGGTTCAGTGTTGGGACCCTTACTTTTTAATATATTTATAAATTATATAGGGTCTGGGATACGAAATCCCATTTCAGTGTTTGCAAATGACACCGAGCTGTGCAGTGGAATAACGTCCTTACAGGATGTTTCCAATTTACAAGCCAACCTCAAAGCTCTGTGTAATTGGGCAACTATGTGGCAAATGAGGTTTAATGTTGATAAATGTAAGGTTCTGCACTTGGGGACTAAGAATATGCATGCATCATACATGCTGGGGGGGTACAACTGGGGGGGTCAATGGTGGAGAAGGATCTGGGAGTTCCAGTAGATCACAAGCTTAATAATGGAATGCAATGCCAAGCTGCGGTTTTTTAAAGCGAGCAAAATCCTATCTTGTATTAAAAGAGGTATAGACTCCAGAGAGAGAGATATCATATTACCCTGGTACAAATCATTAGTAAGACCTCATCTGCAGTATGCAGTTCAGTTTTGGGCACCAATTCACAAAATGAACATTGGGGAACTGGAGAAAGTACTGAGAAGGGCAACTAAACTGACACATGGAGGAGCTCAGCTGAGGAAAGATTAGAGGGGGATATGATCTCCATGTATAAATACATCAGTGGTTCATACGAACTTGGTGTAGTTATTCACCTTGAGATCATCGCAGAGGACAAGGGGGCGCTCTTTACATCTGGAGGAAAAGAGATTTAATCTCCAGATATGGAAATGTTTCTTCACAGTAAGAGCTGTGAAAATGTGGAATAGACTCCCTCAAGATTTGGTTCTGACCAGCTCAGTGGATTGCTTTAAAAAGTCCTGGATTGTTTCGTAGATACACAGAATATAACTGGATATAACATTTATAGGGAAAATTGATCCAGGGAATATCTGATTGCCTCTCGGGGGATCAGGAAGGAATTTTTTTTCCCTATAGGAGCAAATTGGATCGTGCTTTGCTGAGTTTTTTTTCTTCCTTCCCCTGGATCAATTGTGGGTATAGCATTATAACTTTTATTTTTATACAGTTGAACTAGATGGACGTTTATCTTTTTTCAGCCAGACTAACTATGTAACTATCATAAGCATGAGCACAGAGTATGAGTGTTTATAAAAAATAGAAAATGTCATATTTTTTGCAAACGCTGGTACCTTGTACTTGTGTTTATGATGGCACTGCTCTATACACTAATACAGCCACATATGATAATGACAGGCTGTACGCTGTACCTGGGCAGAGGAAATATGGCTGGAGTTATGCTATACAGGCTCAGGCAACCCATGTGCAGGAGCCCCAAGGGTCAGTTCACACCACAAAAACTCACATCAGATCCATTCTGGTGCGTTTTTAACCACTAGCCTACAGGGCACTTATACCCCCTTCCTGCCCAGGCCAATTTCCAGCTTTCAGCACTGTCACACTTTGAATGACAATTGCGCGGTCATGCAACACTGTACCCATATGAAATTTTTATCATTTTTTTGAGACAGAGCTTTCTTTTGGTGGTATTTAATCACCTCTTGGGATTTTTTTTTTCTTAAACCAAAAACCACTGAAAATTAAAAAAAAAAATGTTTTTTCTTAGTTTTTGTTATACAATTTTGTAAATAAGTGATTTTTCTGATGATCAGTGTACATGTCCCCTCCGCGGAAAGCCGATTACCGGCTCTCTCGAGCTGTCAGCGTGACAGCTCGAGAGGAGAGAAATGCCGATAACCGGCATTTCCGTGTTTACATGTGATCAGCTGTGATTGGACACAGCTGATCACATGACCGAGCCGACATCTACTGCTCTTTCCGTGATCCGCTGTGTCCGAGGGACACAGCGCACCGGCGATCGCCGCGCTGCGCGCTCCCTGAGCTGCGAATGCGCGGTGAGAATGGAAGGACGTCATATGGCATCCTATCAGAACGAGAGAACCACCTTGCGCCCGTCATTGTACTATATGGCAGGCGGAAGGTGGTTAATGCATTTCCAGATGCATTGCAGATGATTGTTTTCTTCTTTTTCACTATTCTGGGGTTTGGTGCGTTTTTGATGCATTCGGTATGTTTCGGTGCGGTTTTGATGTGTTTTACCGCATTCCAATACAGTTCTATGCAGGAAAAATGGAGCATGTTCTACTTTTTTTTTTCCTGGAAACTGAATGTACTGAAACTGCAAGCACTGGTGTGAACTATAAAACCATCTAACCTAATTTATGCGTTTTGGATTCCAGCACTGTAATTCAGTGGTGTGAACGAGCTAAATATGCTATATAATTTTTTTTCTTCTCAGCTGTCAAAAACTTTACTCAAAATGTATGATAGAGATCAACAAGCAGATCAATATCTCAACAGTCTGTAATTCCAATTCTAAATACAGAATCTCAGTTCACTGCAATGCTTACATTTAGTTTAACAGTTTTTGCAAAATGTATACATACAGTTGTGTTCAAAATAATAGCAGTGTGTTGAAAAAAGTGAATAAAGCTGAAAATCCTTCTAATAGCTTTTATTTCCATCCACACAAATGCATTGGGAACACGACACATTCTATTCCAAATCAAAACATGAAGAAAAATAGATCAAATTTGTGTTGTTCCTCTAACAAATTGAAGAAAAGTGAATATTAGACGGTTCAAAAAAAATAGCAGTGTTTGTATTCTTCTTTACAAACTCAAACATTCACTATATAAACTGAAAAATGTTTTCTTTTGAATCACTTAATGAATATTTGGTTGTAGTCGCACTGTTTCTGAGAACTGCTGTACATCTGTGTTGCATGGAGTCACCCAACTTCTGGCCCCTGTGATCAGGTATTCCAGCCCAGGATGATTGGACTACATTCCACAGTTCTTCTCTATTTCTTGGTTTTGCCTCAGAAACGGCATTTTTGATGTCACCCCACAAGTTTTCTATTGGATTAAGAGCCAGGGATTGGGTTGGCCACTCCATAACGTCAATCTTGTTGGTCTGGAACCAAGATGTTGCACGTTTACTGGTGTTTTTGGGGTCGTTATCTTGTTGGAACACCCATTTCAAGGGCATTTCCTCTTCAGCATAAGGCAGCATGACCTCTTCAAGTATTCTGATGTATTCAAACTGATCCATGATCCCTGGTATGCGATAAATAGGCCCAACACCGTAGTATGAGAAACATCCCCATATCATGATGCTTGCACCACCATGCTTCACTGTCTTCACAGCGTACTGTGGCTTGAATTCAGTGTTTGGGGGTCATCTGACAAACTGTCTCCGGCCACTAGACCCAAAAAGAACAATCTTGCTTTCATCAGTCCACCTAATTGTAACAGTACTCACAGGTAACTTTAGACCTTCTTTGCTCTTCCTGGAGCTGATTGTTGGCTGAGTCCTTGCCATTTTGGCTATTCTTCTATCCATTCCAATGGTAGTTTTTTTCTTTCTTCCACGTCTTTCAGGTTTTGGTTGCCATTTTAAAGCATTTGCGATCATTTTAGCTGAGCAGCCTATCATTTTCTGCACTTCTTTATATGTTTTCCCCTCTCCAATCAACGTTTTAATCAAGGTACGCTGTTCTTCTGAACAATGTCTGGAACGACCCATTTTCCTCAGAATTCCAGAGAGAAATGCGCTGTAACCAGCATGTACAACATTTGCTGCCTTCCTTCCTTAAATAAGGGCAATAATTGCCACCTGTTTTTCAAAGAATGAATAACCTCACTAATAGAACTCCACACTGCTATTATTTTGAACACGCCCCTTTCAATTAGTGATTCAATTACACAGAATCAGCAGCATGCATGTCATGACTGTTGGGTCTGTTGGATTTCTATTACTCTACTACACCTGCTAGTAAATTATTTGCCATGTAGAAATATAATTTCTACCAAAACAGTGATTGAGCAGGTTAGTGATTTCTGACTGCTATTATTTTGAACACAACTGTACATAATAAAAACTCAGTACAAATAGAAATTCCATTAATACTATGCACTAGGTACAGTAAATGTCTCCTTAATGTGCACCATTTAGGAGATAATTACTTTTGCAGCAGCTGGTGATGTCACAGGCGCATGCGCTCTGAAGGAACTGCCGGCATACCTGTGCTGTTCTTTCAGAGCTCTGTGCTGCGGCCATGACTCCCATGCACATGTGCAGGAGTGATGTAATTGTGGCTCAACCATTCAAACAGTTGAAGCCCCACAACCCAGAAGGAAGTCCGGGTGAAGATGGAAGCACCGTGACCCGTGGCAGCCTGCCGCTGGAGGGATTTGGTTTCAGTTAAATCTGTAATAAGGTGCTAGTATACGGTATGCAGTACTACCACGTTATGACTAAGATCAACCAGGGGCCCATTTTTTTTTTCCTTAGGTGCGGTTTACTATCTTTTTTTAAAGCTTTAGGTATGGGCTTTATTGCTGCAGTTACAATGGTCCAGCATATCTCATACCTGATCAATCCCTGTGTAAGCTGCAAAACTGATGGCAGTAGTTCTGGGTCCAGTGCCAAGTGGCTGAACTTCTGCATAAGTAACCACAGGAGGCTGCTTGTTCAGTCATGCTGCCCGTTCAGAGAATGCCTTTCAATTTTTTCAGTGAATACAAAGCATTCTCTGAGTGGACAAGGTGGATCCATGACATCACAAGGAGGCTTCATTTCAACTTGACCCTTTGTGCAACCTGCACCTAGATTTCAAAGGGCTGGATAGGAACACAAGGATCAGCCTGAAGGCTTAAAGTGACCACACATTACAATCTTAATTTCCCAAAACTATGTAATAAACCCTTGGTGTTCAACCTGTGGCCCTTTGGCACTTTTTGTGTGGCCCCCTGCAGATACTGACCCGTGTTTTCCTATTCCCCTATTACAGCAGTGTCATGTAATGTTTCTCCAGTGTATGACTGTCCTCTGAAGCATGTTCACAGTCTCTGACCATCGCTTGTATGTCTGCAGTCTCTGGCCATCTCCTGTACTATATCCACAGTCTCTGACAATCGGTTGTCTAATGTCTGCATCTCCTCTATTATGTCTGCAGTCTCTGACCATCTCTTGTATTATGTATACAATCTCTGATCATCTCTTGTATCCTGCACATAGTCTTTCACTATATCCTGTTGTGTGTCTGCTGTCTGTGATAATGAATATTAACTGAACTTTATGTGCAGCCCATTGATAATGTCGGGGGCCACACTTGAGGCTTCCATATCAAGTTGACCATCACTGTAATAGACAAATATGCTGGATACGCCAGTTCTCAGTGGCAAGAATCGGTGGATTCTTGCTGCTGGAACGACAGGTGCATGCAAATAGCGGTGATCTACAAAGTACTGACAGACCGACTAGTATAAAAATAAAATAAAAATTCCAGTATATATACAGTACCCTAGTTTGTAGAAATTAAAATTTCACATGGCACACACCACCAGAGGGTACCTGCGGTTAGGGACAGGTGTCTGAGCCTGGACACAGACATATCAGTGTATCCTGACAGCAGTGGGAAATACATAATCTATATAATGTCGTGGGTGAGGGAGATTTCCTCCATCCACCTTGCATGTGTGGGTGAAGGAATCTGGCAGAAAGAAAATTGAACTAACTATCTTTTCCTGCTTAAGATGTAAGAACTAATCAGCTACAGTTCTCATCCTGGGACAGAAATAAAAGACAGCTTGCTGTATCTAGAAGTCTTTTTATGTTTCAATATTCTTTTTGTAAAAGTAAAGCAGATACTTACCCTCTGGTGAGCTTGTGGCTGGGGATAGGTTTTGGTGTAAGTTTCTTCTTCATATGTTTCATAATCATCTATTTAAAACAAAAGAAAAAATACAACATTTAGGGTATAACTGGAGTTTATTAAAAAAACATATGTTTCTGTTCCCTTTTGTGAGATTTACGTAGGAAGTATAAGCTACCGCTGACATGTCTATATGAACATAAGTTAACCTCCCTAGCGGTATGATTATGTCCATATTTCTGTGCTCAAAGCGGTACAATTGCATGGAAATATGTATTTTTTTTATTGTAGGCTGTAATTTTTAGGAATAACTCACTGAAATCTGTCCCGAACAAGAGTCTAGTAAACATCCCGGGTAGGATAAAACTTGAAACACAAAATCATAAATTGTAATTTAATAATCATAAAAATAATATAATAATACATTTAATTCAATAATATAATCAAACCAAAAACACTGAAATTTGAAATATAGCGCCAAGTTCGCACATCGCTGAGCAAAGTCGCAAAATCGTTTTCAGTGTCTGATGACGAATTTCCCCACAAATCATTATCACTCAATTCGGCAAGTGGTTCTGATTTACTGTCGTTGTTCTCTAGTCGTTCTAAACCGCTTTTGACCAAAAGGGATGCTTTTGGACACCATGGACTTTTCTAAGTTTCCAGGCAGAAAGAACAGTCAAAATGCAGGCAGGGCGCAGGACAAAGCAGTAGGGACAAAATGTATGTGAAATGGTTTGATACAGGAGTGTTTTACTATGTCAAATTAATTTCTAAGAAAATGTCAGTTTCTAAAAATGTTTAAATTTGCCGCCGTTCTGGCCCCCGTACATCCCGCAGGGACCGGAACACGGAAGCCAGATGCCAGAGGAGATGGCCGGGGACGCTGCAGGGGACACATCGCGGGAGCGAAAGACAAGGTAAGCGCTGCAGGGAATCCCTGAACAACGCCGCATGGTAAGCCTGAGTGTAGCTCGGGGTTACCGCTTTTGGTACTGAAATTTTACCCCGAGCTACACTGGAATACCGCCAGGGAGGTTTAAACCACAATGCTTGCAGTAGTGTACAGTATATCAAGGCAAAATTAAAAAGAAAACAACATATTTAGTACACATCTGTAATACATGCACATCTACCCAATGTTTTATCCCTAACATACTGCAAACACAGGAAAATCACTGTTGATTTGCCAGAAATATAGTGTACTCTTATATTCCTCTTTCACATCAGTGGGGTTGATTTACTAAAGGCAAACAGACTATGCACTCTGCAAGCACAGTTTTGCTTGCACATGATTGGATGATGGAAGTCAGCAGAGCTCCCCCTCATTTACTTAGCTCAGGACTAACTTCACTTGCAAGCGCACAGTCTGTTTTTCTTTAGTATATCAACCCCTCTTGATTCCTAAGCATGTGGTGTCAGCTCTGTCTACTATATTTTTGATAGATTACACTGACCTTTTTTGTTGGGGTTTAAATTTATAATCTATAAATATATATTCTATTCAAGTATGTATTTTTAACTTCAAAAAGTCCCTTCTATTGCTCTCACACTCCTCTAGATCTCCAGATTACTAGTTTTTGCTGCTGTGATCCTGTTAGAGGGTGACTACATTTGTTCTCCAAGGTCCCACTGTAAGGAAGAGCATAAGCCTCCTCTTTCTCAGTTCTCAGATGGACTATGGACTTTGGGATTTGTAGCGTGCATAGAGGTTTGCACATCACCTCTATTAACATGCACTGCTCATCCCAAACAAAGTGAGGAGGAGAAGGAGAGAGTTCCAAAACTCACAGAAGATATTACAAGGAGGCAAAAAAGCACATTAAGAAACAATTTCATGAAAAATAGAATTCAGGACCATTAAGTAGTGGATGTTTATGGATTATTTTTGAAAATTAAGAATATTGCTTAGTGTCACTTTAAACATGTGTTAAGGCAAGTGTGTTGACATGCATTTTTTCCATGGACTGTGTTGTATTTTTCCCCTCGTTCTTAAAAAAACAAAAACAAACAAAAAAAAACAACTTCATACACATTCAAATATGCATGTTTGGCTTGAACGTTACTTAAAACTTTCCCAAACAATCTCTATGTTCTGGTAGGCGGTAGTTGCAATTATTTATGTTGCATTGTACAAATGTTTGTCGAATCTATATTTTCAGTTTAAAAAAATACTCAAATTTTAAGTGCACACTACTAAAAATAGAACTTCCAATTTGTTGTAAAATATAAAAAAAAAGCTGTGTTGAGTAAGTAAAGTGGTTCCAAAGTCTGAAGGTTTTTTTTTTTTAACCTTCATGCATTCTATTCATGAAGATAAAAAACCTTCAGTGTAGAGCTTTCTCCACAACCCCCACTAAAAATTTACCTGAGCACAATCTCAATCCAGAGATTTGCACGAGAGCAGAGGCTCTCCTGGGTCTCTGCCTCCTCAATGGCTGAGACACAGCAGCTGGAGCCATTGGCTCTCAGCTGCTGTTGATCACAGCCAGTGAGAAATGAGCAGGGGGCAGGGTTGAGCCATGCTCTCTGTGTGTCTCAGACAGGAGGCTCAGGAGCGAGCACACACAAGTGCCCCCAGAGCAAGTGGCTTTCTATGGGGGCAATCAGGGTGGGGTCAGGAGCACCAGTGGGGAACCCGAGGAGGATCAGGGCTCTTCCATGCAAAACCAATGCACAGAGCAGGTAAGTAAGACATGTTTGTTATTAAATAAAGAAAAAAAAGTGAACTTTTGGTGTCACTTGAAGATAACTGTAGCTGTAAAACTGTTGTAATAAAGTGCAGATAAAGAAATGATCATGGAAAATACTCAGCTGCGTTTCTGAGTAAACAGAGGCCAAATATGTCAAGAGTTAAAAAAAACTGTGTGCACCCACAAAATTGAAGAAAAATATGATACCCAAAATTCTTCAAAGGCAACATTGTAAAATCGTCCTCCCACTATCCTGAAGTTGGTCCTTTGCACCATCCTCGGCTATGAGGAAAGATTGGAGGAATTTATTTTCTCTTAAGAACAGGAGGTTAAAGGAGTGGGGGAGGATGATCAACATGTATAATACACAGCCCCGGCCAAAAGTTTTCAGAATGACACAAATGTTAATTTGCACAGTCTGCTGCTTCATTGTTTTCAGATCTTCTTGTCAGACGTTACTATGGTATACTGAAGTACAATTACAAGCATTTCATAAGTGTCCAAGGCTTTTTATTACATTATGTTTATGCAAAGAGTACTTCTTTTTCAAGACCTCTGCAATTCTCCCAGGCATGCTGTCAATCAACTTCTGGGCCACGTCCTGACTGATGGGAGCACATTCTTACATAATCAATGCTTGGAGTTTGTCAGAATTTGTGGGGGGGGGGGGGGGGGTTTCACCCGCCTCTTGAGGATTGACCACAAATTCTCAATGGGATTAAGGTCCGGGAGTTTCTTTGCCATGGACCCAAAATTTCAAAGTTTTGTTCCCCAAGCCACTTAGATATCACTTAGTAGCTCCATCATATTGGAAAAAGCATTGTTCGTCACCAAACTGTTCTTGGATGGTTGGGAGAAATTGCTCTCGGAGGATGTTTTAGTACCATTCTTTATTCATGGCTGTGTTCTTAGGCAGAATTGTGAGTGAGCCCACTCCCTTGGCTGAGAAGCGACCCCACACATGAATTGTCTCGGGATACTTCACTGTTGGCATGACACAGGACTGATAGCATTCACCTTTTCTTCTCCAGACAAGGTTTATTCCGGATGCCCCAAACAAATGGAAAGAGGATTCATCAGAGAAAATGACTTCACCCCAGTCCTCAGCAGTCCAATCCCTGTACCTTTTGCAGAATATCTGTCTGTCCCTGATGGTTTTCCTGGAGTGAAGAGGCTTCTTTGCTGCCCTTCTTGACACCAGGCTATCCTCCAACAGTCTTCACTTCACTGTGCATGCAGTTGCACTCACACCTGCTGCTGCCATTGGTGGTGCCCTGATCCCATAGCTGAATCAACTTTATGAGACGGTCCTGGAGCTTGCTGGACTTTCTTGGGTGCCCTGAAGCCTTCTCACAACAGGTGAACCTCTCTCCTTGAAGTTCTTGATGATCCCATAAATGGTTGATTTAGGTGCAATCTTAGCAGCAATATCCTTACCTGTGAATCCATTTTTGTGCAAAGCAATGATGACTGCACGTGTTTCCTTGCAGGTAAATTAATACTGGATGCATGAGTATATACATTCATGTACAGTGGGGATCGAAAGTTTGGGCACCCCCAGCTAAAAATTTGTATTAATGTGCATAAAGAAGCCAAGGAAAGATGGAAAAATCTCCAAAAGGCATCAAATTACAGATTAGACATTCTTATAATATGTCAACAAAAGTTAGTGCTTGCTATAAATTCTGCAGGGTGCCCAAACTTTTGCAGACGCCATTTTTTTGTTTTCTGTTATTTTGAAAGTGTAAATGATGGAAATAAAATCTAACTTTTGTTGACATATTATAAGAATGTCTAATCTGTAATTTGATGCCTTTTGGAGATTTTTCCATCTTTCCTTGGCTTCTTTATGCACATTAATACAAATTTTTAGCTGGGGTGCCCAAACTTTCGATCCCCACTGTATGTGAAGTTGGCACTCATAGCGGACCAGATGAACTGCATTTCTTCATATCAAAAGGATAGAATAAGGACTCCTTACTATGTTAATTTATGCACCAGGTAATTACCTTACCTTTTGTTATGTTGGGTTAATCTGTTTTTGGGTAAATGTGGAGAGTCAGGGAGTTTCAGAGCAGGTTACTTGCAAATCTACCAACATTGTAAAATGCAAGTTTATCTGATTAGATTTGGAAAGGTTAAATATTCATGATGGCCTTGTTTATGAGAATCGCTTTTTAGGTAGAGTCTTTACCTATGCAAGAAGAGTAAAAACATGCAATTTTCCCTTAAACAATATGAGAAGTATATGGTAAATGGGTTTAAGGCAGCTTAAATATTCATAGTGAACTTGTTTATGGTGAAGAGAATTTCAACATGGGTGTCCTGTCCAACTTTGTACAAGGATGTTAAAGATTGCAGTTTTGCCGTAAACA